TGCTGGGGGATTGAACCACGGTCCTTGTGCTTTGCTTAGCTTGTTCTATCTAGGTAGGTGCTTTAGACCACTGAGCCATCTCACCAGCCCCAGAACCTGTGTTTTTAAGGGATTTTTATAGAGCAAACTCACAAGGGGAGGCAAGTCAAAGGTAAAAAACATAGGAACTTGCTAGGTGGGCACCCATCTTCTGCATGCTCTGCAGCCTTCAGCTCAACATTCAGGAGCTTGCCAGGCATTGAATTGGACCCTCTCATTGTGGAGTAAGGAAGTCCTTGGGAGAGGAATGCTCCTTTAGAGTTAAGTGTGCTGTTCCCTGATGTGATTCTGTCCTGCACGTCTGTTCTTTAGACCGATAGTTCTTTATCTCTGTCCGCATTCTCTCCTGTGAAAGTGCACATCACCACCCCACAGAAGATTCAGTGGACATGGACATGAGCCCCCTTGAGGCCCCAGAACTGGTTTTTCGATTGTAGCTAGAGGCGACAAAGACCGTCACTTTAATGTGGGTAATGCTGACAGTGAGTACCAGTTATCATTACAAAAATCAGTTTAAGGACTGGTGCAAAGGGTAAATTTGACATTGTTAAAGCAGAGGCAGTGAATAGAAAGGCATTCCAAGTGAAGTAACATTGGCAATTTTGAAAATGTCTGAACAGCTAACCGTTTCCCTTGGAGACTTTGACATTATACCACCTGTGTTTTTTGTTGTTTTAATGAAAATGTGGAACCCTTCACGAATTTGCGTGTCATGCAGGTGCCATGCTAATCTTCGCTGTAATTTTAGTATATGTGCTGCTGAAGCAAACACTCTGTTTTGTTTTTGAGGCAGGGTTTTGCTATGTCATGTAGGCCAACACCTTAGACTCACTGTGTAGCGTAGGCTGGCCTCGAACTCTCTTTGATTCTTCTGCTTCAGCTTCCCAAGTGCTGGGATTACAGATTTGCACCACCGTTCCTGGCCTACCACCTGTTTTAAGGATGAAATGTGTGTGCATTGTGTATATTAGCAGATGGCATGTAGTAGCTGCGCAGGAAGCTGCAGGGTTAGAAGAGGAAGAGGATATGGATGGAAAAACTCTTAAGTATATCTGCAAAGTGATCCACCGCCAGAAGTGGTAGCAAGATTCCAGAGGAGGAAAGAGTGAAACTAGCTGCTGAAGATGATGATAATGGAGACGATGATTTGATGAGGAGGAAACTACAGAGAAAGCTCCAGTGAAGATATATACAAGATACTCCAGCCAAAAATGAGCGGAAATCAAACCAGAATGCAGAAAACTCAAAACTAACACCAAGATCAAAAGGTCAAAGATCCTTGAAAAAAAACAGGAGGAAAAAAAAAAAACAAAATCCTAAAACAAAGGACCCATGAGATAGCTCAGCAGATTAAGCACCTGTTTAGGCAAGTGCAGAGACGGGGGTTCGATTCCCGGCACCACATGCCTCGCCAGCCCCATCCCTATGGGTGCTGAGCCAGCCACTGAATTCAGATGTGGTGGCATATGCCTGTAATCCTAGCCCTGGAGAGGCTGAAAATAAGAGGGTCACATTGAGTCCGAGCTGCGTAGTGAGACCCTGTACCACATACATTAAAAAAAAAAAAAAAAGCAGGCAAGCATAGAGGAAAGTGGTTCCTTTCCCAGAGTGGAAGCCAGCTTCATCAGTTATGTGAAGACTTGCTTTCAAGTGACTAAGTAGAAGGCTACTCAAGATTTCTGGCAGTGGAAGAAGTCTTTTTAAGAAAACAGTTTAGACAATTTGTTAACATTTTCCATCTTTTTTTTTGTTTCTGTAACAGTTAATCAAGTGAGAACTTTCCCTATTTTTTTTTCTTT